GTCTCTCTCCGGTTCTCTCCTGCCCTGGACCGCCAAGAGGAGCTGAGGTGAGCATGCTACCATGAAATGTGTCAGACTTCTTTATTTTACTCTCTCCTATTATTCTCTATGACTTTGTTATAATCTTTATATATCTTAACCTTACAGTTGTGCTTACTGAACCCGTGATTAGTTGGGGAGGGGGGCTGGCCTTCCCCCACAGTAGGTGATTTTTAAGAGTGTAGTTCTCACAAGAGAAATCGTTTGCCTGTTGAGTTAACCTGCTTTTGGTTGAAAAGCACATCCGAGAGGTGGTTGTTTTTTGGTGCCATCGAGTCGGCTCCAACCCATAGCGACCCTGTGACCCTGTGCATGACAGAATGAAACACTGCACGCTTACCCTCACTGCGCCCTTACCATTGTTCCCATACCTGAGCCCATTCACGCAGCCACTGTGTCAGTCCATTTCGCCAAGGGCCTTCCTCTCTGTCGCTGCCCCTCCACCGGACCAGACATGACGACCTTCCAGGGCCTGGTCTCTCCTGACAACATGGCCAAAGTAGGTACGATGAAGTCATGCCTTCCTTGCCTATAAGGAGCACTCTGGTCTTCTTCCAATGCAGATCAGTTTGTCCTTTTAGCAGTCCATGATACTGTCAATATTCTTCTACAGCACCGTAATTCAAATGCATTTAATCTATGATCTTCCTTATTCAGTATCCAAATTTCATATGCATATGATGCAATGGAGAATATGATGACTTGGGTCAGGCGCACCTTAGTCCTCAAAGAAACATCCTTCCTCTTCAGTACCCTAGAGAGGTCTTGTGCTGCTTCCTTGAACGTTGATTGTGGAACCAAGCAAGACAAAATCATTGGCAATGTCCACTTTTTCTCTGTCACGATGTTAACTATTGGTCCGGTTGTGAGGGTTTTGGTTTTCCTTACATTGAGTTGCCATCCATACCAAAGGCTATAATCCTTCATCTTCATCAGCAAGTGCTTCACTTTCAGTGTATTCAACAGACTTCAGAATAAGCCTTCCTCCAATCCTGATGCCATCCTCCTCATGAGCACCATGAAGTGTTCCAGAATTCCCATTCTTCTCAAGGTTGTCCACAGTTGATTATGATCTTTGCATAGTCAGTGAAACACAAGTAAACATCTTCCTGGTATTCTCTACTTTGAGCCAAGGTTCATCTGACAACCAGTATTTATTATTCCACGTCCTCTTCTGACAACCAGTATTTCTTATTCCAAGTCCTCTCCTGAATCCGGCCTGAACTTCTGGCAGGTCCCTGCCAATGTGCTGCTGTAACCATCGTTAGATGATCTTCAGTAGAGTTTCACTTGGGTGCACTGGCAATGATATCATTTTATAGTTCAAACGTTCAGTTGCGTTCTTTCTTTGGAATGGGCACAATGTGGATCTCTTCTAGTCAATTGGCCAGGCAGCTGTCTTCCACATTTCCTGGCATAGACGAGTGAGAGCTTCCAGTGCTTCTTCAGCCTGTTGAAACATTTCAGGGGGTATTCTGTCCATCCTTCAAGCCTTGCTTTTGACTAAACCATTCAGTGTGGTTTGAACTTCTTCCTTTAGTGCCATGGATTCTAACTCATGTTACCTCCTGAAATGGTGGGATGTTCAGTTGTTCTTTCTTGGTTCAGTGACTGTGTATTCTTCCCATCTTCTCTAAATGCTTCCTAAATCATTCAACATTTTGCTTATACAGTAGAATGTTTCAAAGTTGCAATTTGAGGCTTGCATTTTTTCGTAAGTTCTTTCTGTTTCAGACATGCCGAGGGTGCTCTTCCCCTTGGCTCACTTTGGGTGACCTGCTGGCATTTGGCGCACCAGTGACATAGCTTCCAGCAGCACAGCAACACATCAGCCGCCACAGTATGACAAACTGATGGACAAGTGGTGGGTCCAAAGGGTAGTTTCCATTTTAGGATTGAAACCGTGTCTCGGGGATTCTTCGGGTCCCAGGCCATGGTTCATGGAGACAGTTAATACTGTCTTGTGGTTTCTTCTCTGATTTTTGGAACTGATACTCATTTTGAAATATTCTTCAGGTTTGCATTATTTTACTACTTTCTAACTTTATTTAAAAATGAAAATGAGAGTGTCTTATTAATAATGTCAAACTAGTATGTACTACCCCAGTCTCTACTGATTTAAAATTGAAAATAATTTGTGAAGTGTCACCTAGGAGTTAGGATTTACTTAGCATGCCCTTTATTCACGCACTGTATATTCATAGTGTAAGGACAGATGGGTGAACTGTATACAAGTTTGATTTGTTATCAAATAGCTTGCTATATATGCAATACTTTTTATGAAAACTATTGTTATAAAGCATCTTTCTAGATGGTGTTGTATTAGCCTTGGTTGAATTAGGTCTATTTATTTTCTCTCTGACTTTTATTATGATTTTTAAACCTTGAGAATAAAGTTAACATGCACATGTAGACCCACCAGAGGTAAAATTAATGACAGCAAAATATTTACTATATTGGTTTTATGTCTCTCTGTGTGTCTGCTTTTGCTATACAATTTAAAAGTAAGTTTAACCTGTTTTCAATTTAGAGAAATTCTTTTTTCATGCAGAGGTACTTTAGCATGTACTTGTTTGGTATAAGGTATTCATTAACCCACAATATAATCATCACCCGAGGAAATAAATAGCTGTCTAAAATAATTTAAAAATGAATCCATATTCTAGCTCCCCCACTATTCCCAGTGATCTTTTAAAGCAAATGTCCTCCTCCTCAGATGGGATCCCATCAGCATTTGTATAGCATGTGGTGCTTGGGCCATTTTGCGTCTTTTTCAAATAGCTTTAATGATGTATAACTGATAAACAAGAAATACATCTTTGAGGAGTACATTTGATAAGTTTGGACGTGTGCAGACACCTGTAACACCAAGGTTAATGTCAAGATAGTGAACATTCATTACAACTGCCTCTTGATTCCTGTACAAGTTCCTCATGAGCACAAGCAAGTGTCAGGATTTCTCATTTTTGGCCACTTTAGGTTGTTGTGATCTACAAGGGCAAAGGCAGTCTTTGTACAATATCAGTAAAACGCAAGTCAGCATCTCTCTGGTGTTCTCTACTTCAGCCAAGAGCCAGCTGGCATTGGCCATGATAGTCTTCATTCGGGGTCCTCTTCTAATGAAGCTTAATATCTCCCTATCAGTGTACCACTGTAGCCACATGTACCAATGTGATTCCTGCTGGTCAGTTAGCCAGGTGGCTGTCTTCCCCAGTTCTTGGCAGAGACTAGTGAGTGATTCCAGTGCCCGGACCAGCCCCCATTTCCTTTCTTTTTAAAAATAATAGTTTTATTGACATACAATTCACATAACCTAAATTCGGTAGTTTGCCATATTAAAAAGAGTTATCATCACTACAGTCAATTTTAGAATGTGTTCTTTCTTTTTTTCTTTTAAATCATTTTATTGGCTCTTACAGCTCTCATAACATTCCATACATCAGTTGTATCAAGCACATTTCTACATATGCTGCCATCAGCATTTTCTAAACATTTACTTTCTGTTTGAGCCCTTGGGACTATAACTCTTTTTTTTTAAAAATCATTGTATTGGGGGCTCGTACAATTCTTATCACAATCCATACATCTGTCCTTTGTGACAAGCACAATTGTACACTTGTTGCCATCGTCATTCTCAAATCATTTGCTTTCTACTTGAGCCCTTGGTATCAGCTCCCCATTTTTCCCTCCCTCCCTGCTCTTCTTTCTTGTGCTCGTTGTTATTAGCGCCCATACCCCCAACCTCCCCTGCCACACCCACCAGAATCCATTCATCCAGTTACTGTCTCTGTAGAACATTACATTGTTGATGGGTTTCAGTATTCCTGGGTTCATACGTTGTACATTCTGTAATTTGAGTATTAATGGCTGATCTCATTTTGAGTCATACTTGAAGGTTCTGAAAGCTTTGCTCCGCGCATGTCATTGTCTCCAAGTTCACTGCCGGTGAGTCCACTTCAACTCATAGTAACCCTGGAGGACAGGGTGAGGACTACCCCGCGGGTTTCCGAGACTGTAACTGTGGGAGTAGAAAGCTTCATCTTTCTCCTGCAGAGTGGACGGTGATTTCAAACTGATGATCTTGGAATGAGCAGCCCAGCATATAACCAGCTAAGCCACCAGGGCTCCTCCTGTGCCATCGTAGTCAACTTTACTTTGAGCAGGCAGTTCGTCCCAGTCGTATTTTGAGTACCTTCCGGCATGAGTAGATACCTTCCGGTAGTTCCACTGCTGTTTATGAAATAATCCTCAGAAAGGCACCGTCTATTATTTAGGGAGTCTGGTGGGCTCACCTCACGGAGAAGTTACCTCTCTGCACCATGCCTTAGAAGCCCTCTGCAGACAATAAGTTGTGTAATGACCTCAATTGCCCCCAAATCTACGAGATCACTGTCCTTCATCAAGGACAATGTTCAATGTTACAACCATTTTTCTTAGGCTTTGTTTCGTATTCTAGTTGTTTTAGGTTTGAAGGCAGGTAAATTTGGTTCCTGCTCCTCCAACTTGAACTCATCCAGGAGTCCAGATATAGATTTGATAGGAATAAATCTGTATTAAACAAAATGTATACTTGATAAAATTGATTTTACTGTGTCTTTCCCCAGTTACTGCCAACTGGTAACAGAATACTATTGTTTTAGCGAATTCTTTTTCTTATCCCCCAAATAATGTAGCTGCTAATAGTAGACTCCTCCCAACTAAAAATGAAAAAATGAAATAAAGAAAATCAAGTTTCTAGATATTTGTTTTAGATGGCAATACTGTGTACACAACACCCCCCTCCCATTTTTTTGTTGTTGCTGAAAAGCGTTGGCGGAAGAGAAGGAGGAGGTAACTTAGATGTGTGAAAAGACCAGCAGCTTACATACCCAGGGTACACATGTTGTATCCAATTTTGGTAAGTAAGTATTTTCCATGGCTAATTGTAGGCTTTAAATGTTTGTTTGTTTTTAATGTTTTAGATAACCAAGCAAAAGAAAGATGAGCTTCCTCTCTGGACTTCTGTCTGCTATGAGAAACTCTGTTTACTTTAGCTTTAATTCACCAGCCACTTGGAGACAGTATAGCACCCTGGCTAACTTCATAGTACGTAAGTATCAGGGTCTGAGACTACGTCAGTGTGCCAGGGTTGTCTTTCTGCCAGACAACGTTCGTTTCTACAGGACTTTTAATGAAAGAACAGGTTGCCTCTCGAGGACTAAAAGTGAGGCAGTTTGGAGGATTACCTGCAACTGTGCTGCCAGGAATGCTTCCTTGTGGAGACAGCTACGGATCGGAGACAGTTTTCACACTTCTGCACGTTGTCAAGCTGCTCCAGTGCCCCTCCTGTTGATCCTCCTTAAGCCGGTGCAGAAACTACTTGCAATCATTGTGGGCAGGTAAAATCTATTAACAATAAATAAATAAACATTCGTATTTTCCAACAGATCTGGAAAGCTACTGGACTTTTAAAGAAAACTTGTTAGTCCTTCCCCTCCCTCTTGCTGAAACATTGAGCTCAAAATTAGAGTTCTAAACATTGGCTCTCTCCAGTTCTGTTCTGTCTGAAATAATAATCTTGAAAAATTTTACTGCACATAGTACTTTACAATGTAGACGTGCCATCTTTAAATTATTATGTCTTTAATATTTTACACACGGATCTTCTATTTCCAATTTTAAGAACAATCAGAAACATTGGTTATAATCCACGTAGAAGAATTATGTACAAACATCCCTTTGGAGTTTAGAATTGTAGGCAGTACTATTGAAACCGAGGATCTATGGTGCTCATTTAAGAACAGGCTTGCTCCTTATTCTGAGTCAGGTTAACTCTATGACCATTGATATTTATTTTTTGTTCCATTTCCAGTACATCTTTCTGGTTTGCTCTTTTAATAATTAATACTGTGATACCAAACTAATACTTTAGAATTAACTTAGTTCCTGTCCCCCTTTTATTTGATCCTTGAAAAGCAGAGGGAAATTCATGGTATCTGTTTGTTAGCCATCAGGACCTATTTTACTCCCACACTAACCAGTCCACTTTGGTTCTTAGCAAAACCCAAGAACTTCTACTCTGTAATTTACTTTGGTTGTCTTTATACGTTCAGGTTTTGGCTCCCAGAAAATATATAGCTACATTAGGGACGGACTCAGCCCACTTTCCTGGTACAACTGCCCTTTCTGGTTTCTAATAGGTTCTTTATCACGAGACAGCCTGGTGGTTTGAACTGACAACCTTTACATTAGCAACCTGGTGCTTAACCACTGTGCCACCAGGGTTCTTTTGCTCCATTTCTTTATTTTTATTCTTTGTTGTTGTTCTTAATATTGTAAGTCTTCTAAAATTCCTTTTTAGACTATGCTTTTTATTCTTTTTAAATAAATGCTAATAAATCATGTAAAGTTTTAAAATGGGAAGTAAGTACACCTGATAGTTGGTGTCTCTCCAGTGTCCAGGGGCATTTCTAGAGTGTCACCCAGCAAAAGGAAGTTACTTGAAGAGGCAAAATCCCTCCACTTGCTGGTGCGCAGTGCCCTTGCCCTTTTGATTTCTCCGTTTTCAGGTTCCAGAGACTATGTGGCGTTTCTGCTAGTGAACAGAGGTTATTTCTAAAATCAGTGCTGAGGTCGTTTCCCCAGGCCTTGGCGAAGCCATGGTAGGTTGTGCCAGCAGTCTGATGAGTGTTGGGAGGGCTGGTTCTTAGAGACACAGATTTGTTGTAACCCCCTCAGATGGTTATTTGGGGACTTCATCCCCACTGAGTAAGTAAACGTAAGTACCCAAACCCTGGAATAAGATTGCCAGTTTTTCTGCGTACCTTAGGCAAATGTGCTTCATCTCTCCCTCTCATTTCCTTATTTATAGTAGGCCTAGTTGCTATGAGGATGAATGAGACGGCAGGTGCGTAACAATTGGAAAGTTCTTTGCAGTAAACAGTCAACAAATGTTAACTAGTGGTAGTTGCAGTTGCTTGAAGTAGCTCCCCAGAGAGCGTTCATCTTCTTAGATGGTTAAAGAAGAACATGCAAATAAGTATTAGGATGTTTAACCGTAACTCTGCATGGATGATCCATTTTTCATCATTTCATAGATTCAAAATGCCATCTCTCTACAGAGAAAGACGTAGGATGTTTGGTGACAAATTCTACTTTGCGTTTTGGTGGTGTGCCTGCTACGACATCAGACCTGTGACTTTCTTTTCACTCCAGGGGCATACGAAAATGGTGGAAGGCACTTCCTCCTAACAAGAAGGAGCTATTTAAAGAAAGTGTAAGGAAGAATCAATGGAAGTTACTCCTTGGTTTGAGTAGTTTTGGATTGCTATTCATAGTGTTTTATTTTACTCACCTGGAAGTGAGTCCAATCACAGGAAGGAGCAAGCTGCTATTATTGGGGAAAGAACATTTCAGACTGTTGTCAGAACTGGAATATGAATCAGTAAGTAGTAAGAATTGTTTTTAATTAGCCTGCTTAATTAATGTAAAACTCAATATAAGGTAGTTTCTTGAATATTTTAGTCTCCAGCCTTTTTCCCCCCAACAGGCATGGGGCCTTCACATTTAATATTCCTACTGCTTACATTGCTTTTCCTTATACTCACCCAACTATTTCCTCCTCTTTACATGTCAGTTGAAATGTTGCTTTCTCAGGAAAGTCTCCCTTTGTTATCTCGACTGGGTTCGCTGGGGCTTTAATATTCAGTGTTAGGTGCTATCCTTCATGATGCTATTTTTGTTAGGTGTCATCTGGTTGGTTCCAGCTCATAGCACCCTCTGTGTACAACAGAACGGAACACCTCCAGGTCCTGCACCATCCTCAACAGTTGTTCTTATGTGTGCGCCCATTGGTGCAGACCCTGTGCCAATCCATCTTGTCAAAGGTCTTCCGCCTCTTCCCTGGCCCTCTCCTTTACCAAGCATGATGTCCTTCTCCAGGGACTGGTCTCTCCTGACAACATGTCCATAAATGAAGTCTCCTCATCCTCGCCTCTACGAGCACTCTGGCTGTGTTTCTTCCAAGACAGATTTGTTTGTTCTTTTGACATCCCTCGGTATTTGCATACTCTTTGCCAAGACTGTAATTCAAATGTCTTGATTTTTCTTCAGTCTTCCTTCTGCAGTGTCCAACTCTCACGTCCATATGAGGCAAATAAAAATACCATGGTTTGGGTCAGGCACACTTCAGGCCTCAGAGTAGCATGCTTGCTTGTCAGCGCTTTATGAACGCCTTGTGTAGCAGAGTTCCCCAGTGCCGCACATTGTGTGATCTCTTACTGCTGTTTCCATGAGGATGGATTGTGAATCCAAGCAGGATGAAATCCTTGACAGCTTCAACCTTTTCTCTGTTTATCATTGTGTGACCTATTGGTACCTATTGTGAGGATTTCTGTTTTCTTTGCATTGAGTTGTAACCAATATTGAAGACTGCACCCCTCGTTCTTCATCAGCAGGTGCTTCAGGTCCTCCACACGCGTAGCAAGCAAGGTCGTGTTATCTGTATATCGAAGGTTGCTAATAAGCCTTCTTTTTCACATAATCCAATTCCTCTTAATTGTTTGCTCAGCATACAGATTGATTAGTATGGTGAGAGGATATAACCCTGATGCACACCTTTCTGATTTTAAACCCTGCACCATTTCCTTGTTCTATTCACACAACTGCTTCTTCATCCATATACAGGTTCCACATGAGCACAGTAAAGTGTTCTGGAATTCTCATTCTTCTCAAGGCTGTCCATAGTTTGTGATGATTCACACAGTTGATTGCTTTGTGTGGTCAGGGAAACAAAAGTAAGCATCCTTATTTGAGGCAAGATGCATCTGACATCAGCAATGAGATCCCTTGTTCCACCTCCTCTTCTGAATCTGGATGATCTTCAGCAATATGTTACTTGCATGTGATATCAAGTATAATTTGTACGTTCTGCTGGGCCATCTTTCTTTGGGGGCAGGTACCAATATGGATCTCTTCCAGTCCATTGGACAAGTAGCTGTCTTCCAAATTTCGTGACACAGACAAACAAGTGCTTCCAGTGCTTCATCAGCTTGTTGAAACATTTCAGTTGTTATTTCATCAATTCCTGGAGCCTGGTTTTTGGCAAATGCTTTCAGTGCAGCGTGAACTTCTTCCTTCAGCATTGGTTCTTGTTCATATGCTACCTCCTGAAAAGGTGGGAGGTTGATTAGTTCTTTTTGGTAGAGTGACTGCATCTTCTTTCCATCATCTTTTGAAACTTCCTGCCTCATTCAATATTTTGCCCTTACAATCTTTCTGTATGGCAACTCAAGGCTTGAGTTTTTTTCTTAGTTCTTTCAGTTTAAGATATGCTGAACATGTTCCTCCTTTCTGGTTTTCTAACTAGGTTTTTGCACATTTCATTATAATATTTTACTTTGTCTTCTCGAATTGCCCTTTGAAGTTTTCTGTTCAGCTCTTTGACTTCATCATTTCATCCATTTGCCTTAGCTACTCTGTGATTAAGAGCAAGTTTCAGAGTCTCCTCTAACAGATACTTTGATATTTTCTTTCTTTCCTGCCATTTGAATGAACTTCTGTTTTTACATGAATGATGTTCTTGATATCTTCCCACAGGCCATCAGGTCTTTTGTCATTGCTGTTTAGTGTATCAAATCTATTCTTGAGCTGTTCTCCAGATTTGGGTGGGATAGCCTCAAGATCATATTTTGGCTTCATGCAGATGTAGTTACTATTCAGATCATCTGCAGGTGTGCCCAGTTCTTGACCATACTCAAGTTAGGTCAATTTATTGTTTTATGTTTGTGTTTTACCTTCAAAGTCCTTAATTGGGACCTTAACATAACAATTAGGTTATGGTCTATCTCCTCTGTTAGACTAAGCCTCCTGAAGGCAGGAACCTTGTCTAGTTTATCAGTGGGAGAAAGAGGAGACTTTCTACTCCCATAATGACTTAAAGCCTTGGAAATCCACAGGGACAGGTCTCCTCTGTTCTGTAGGCTCACTAGGAGTCGGAATGAACTGGATGGCAGTGAGTTTGTTTGGCTTTTTCCTTTGGTGTGTGCCATTGTGAAAATGGAGCTACCTAGGTTTATTAGTGGCTGCTTTTCCAGGCAGAGCATCAGGCCTTCCTCTACAAGTGCCTCTGAGTAAACTCAGACCTCCAGTCTTTTCCTTGACATCGAGTGGCTGCACCACCCCACTGTTCCATGTGCACATCTCCTTACTGGGGTCACGGCAATCCCGCCTTTTGGCAACTATGGGGCAGAGTAGAACTGCTCCGGAGGGTTCTCCAGGCTGTACGTCATGGTGGAAGCAGTCCGCCCCATCTTTTCCCCACGGAGTAGAGCTGTTAGCAGCCTGACACTTAATCTACTGGGCCACCACTGTTACGATACTGGACCTAATGGGTGCTTATTCTATTAGAAAAAAAATTGATCTGTAATTTGGATTTTTACATCAGATACTTTTTCTTCCCTAATACCAATTTTTGCTACATTTTTGCTTTTTGAGCATACAATAAATTTGTAATTAAAAAACCTGAATTCTTTGGACAGTATAACTATGGTAGCAAGTTTTTCCAGTACTGAGATCATCAGTCTGTCTCCGGTGCTTTGCTTCACCCATTAAAGTCACTAAGCCGACTACGTTGTAGAGGCAGCTCCCTCCCTGTCCTACTTGGATACCTTCTGACTTGAGAGGCTCAGTGTTTGGCTGCTGTTCCTCTAAGGTCTTCTTTGACAAATCCCTCAAGTGGACCACCTGTCTTTTGATTTCCTAGTCTGTTCTTAGTCTTCATGGTATTCACCATGGATGACTCTGCTGAAATTTGAAAAACCAGTGACAGCTTCCAGCATCACAGCAACACACGGGCCACCCCAGGACCACAGCTAGACAGCCAGGTGGCACTTTAGTACATTGCACATCCATAATATGTGTTCAGTTAGTGTTTGTTGAATTGACATCTAATGTTTCTCTTGACAGTTTTGGTATGATTAAATACATCTTTCAATTCCAAATGAAAATTTACCATTAAAAGAAGTGATTTTTCACTAAAAAGTTTGCTTTTCATGCAGATTCAGAGCAGTCTGTTCCAGAGCAATCTAAAATGCAGGGATTTGAAGCATTTATTCACATAGGATTTAGCCAGAGGCAAGTTCCAGGAAAGTGTTTTGGGAAAATTGAAGTAGACCTGATGTTAAATTCATGTATCTTCTACCATTCATATTCCTAAAGTGCTTGAAGTGTGCATGTGTGTACACATAAATGCCTAGTGTGCACTTAAGGCTTTTTTTCTTCTTCAACTTACAGATGTATGAAACTTGATATGAGAAGTCAAATGCATGCTTTTATAGGGATATTCTGAATTGTTTGGATTATATGTAAGGAACCCTGTTGGCACGATGGACTAGGCAATTGGCTGTCAAACGTAAGGTTGGTGGTTCATACCCACCAGCTGCTCCTTGAGGGAAAGATGAGGCTATCTGTTCCTATCGAGACTTAGAGTCTCGGAAACCGCGGAAACCCTTGGTTTGCTATGAGTTGGATTCATCTTGATGGCTCTTTTTTGACAAAAAAGAGAAAAGCCTGTAAATAGTCCAAGGTTTGTTGACCTTTAGGAGTGTTTTCCGGTCGAGTCTGATGGGTGCCATGCTCTGGCCCCAAAGCCTATTTTTGGTATTCCCTTGGGACTTCCTTGCTCCACTCCCCTTGCTGTTCTGTTGCACGCTTGATGGCTTTTTTGCCTTTTGTCTTAATTGTATATAACCTTGTCTTTAAAAAAAGAAAGATTCAGAGTAATTTTTAATTCAGGTAATGTTAAATTGGTGAGTACACTTTAAAAATGTTAATTGACACAAAAACTACAAGTAATCCCTGGATTATGAAGAATGATTTTGTTCCTAAGTCTGTCTTAAGTTGAATCTGTACATTTAGTAGGAATAACTACATAACCACTCAGATCTATTGGTTCATAGTAGATCGTGCACCTTGGTATGCATAGCAAACATTAAAGAACACTTCCAGAGACACTAAGACATCTTTTGCCTAGTAATATAATAATAATAATAATAATGGTTTCATGCATGTTGCAAAGTAGCATCAGTTCTTCATTATGAATCACTGTACGTGTCAAGAATTTTAACGTAGCAGGCTTTATGGAGACTGGTTCTTAACTGCAGTTTGTACCTAGTGAGTGGGATGTTTGTAGCCTGGGGACTCCCTATATTTCAAATGCATACCCTACAAAATCATGTATTTTTTTATTACATGGCAGGGAAGCAGATTACAAGTTTGGTAATTCATGTGTGAAAGAAATTATGTATTTTTTGGAAATTAAAGTAATATTTTCAGAACATCTTTAATTTTCTCAGCTAGAAAGGGTCACTCTTTCATGAGAAAAGGTTTCTTCATGTGATGGTTAGTCTTAATCAGCACCGAGTAGAAAAAATAATATGCTCATAAGTTACTGAAATTTTAGTTGTTTCAATTTATGTAAAGAAATCACTATAAAATTAATGAGATTTCCTTTCTAAATGTTTAGCTGTATTAATTGTAAGGTGTTTTTCTTCTCAGAAATAGTATTTAAGCATTTTATTTGTTGTTAGGCTAATGGAAAAGATGAATTACATTTTTATCTCGACCAGTCTATTTGAAAAAATCTTAATTGTCTAAGTTTATTCCATGTGTTAGAAACCACTACATTGCCTTTGTCTGAATAATTCAAACTGGAGATGTTTGAGTAATATATGCAGATTTTTACATAATTAAAAATTAAAACATTCATTGGTGAGCAGCCACATAACTCTTCATGAAGTAACATAAACAATTTTGTAGAGCTGAAGTGCTTTTTCAAATAACGGCTGCTTTTCTGCCTCCTCTTTCAGTGGATGCAAGAATTTAAAGATGATATGCTACCTGAAAAAGATGCCCGATACCTGGCCGTTAGAGACGTGGTCGGTCATCTTGTTGAATGCAATAAAGATATCCCGGGCATCTCTGAGATTAATTGGGTTATTCATGTGGTTGATTCTCCAGATATAAATGCTTTCGTGCTTCCAGTAAGTAAATGTGTTCCAACTAATTTTATTGTTACTCTTAATATCCTTTATTCTTTATGGTGTTCTAATTGCCTACATTATTTTCTTTATGGTGCAGAACGGACAAGTGTTTGTTTTCACTGGACTTTTGAATAGTGTAACTGATATTCATCAGCTTTCCTTCCTTCTGGGCCATGAAATAGCTCATGCAGTACTTGGGCATGCAGTAAGTATCCAAGATAAAGGTTTAGTTGTTGAAATAATGTTTTGAAGTTAGCAAACTTTTTTTTTTTAAAGAGCTGAGTCTGTTCAGATTTCTTTCAATCGATCTAATACGGTTTTTAGAAATTGCCTTATTTTGTTACCTGATATAGTATGCTAGCATTCTTTAGCATTTTTATGGTCTTTTTGATGCTGAATATTAGTATATTTCTCTTAAACACTATTTTCATCACTTGCCTCTTGCTTAGAAGTAATTCTGAACCTCTAATTATTTTACATTCAAAATTTTCCATGAGAGGGGGGAAGGGAAGATGTGATAACAAACCCAGGGACAAGGGAACAACAAGCGATCCAAATTGGTGGGGAGGTGGGTGTGGGAGACCTGGTAGGGCAGGATCAAGGGGAAC